GGCTGGCAGAGCAGGCTCGGCCCGGCTTGGCAGGTGTCGGCAGAGGCGGTGCTGAGGGCCCCAGCTGTGCCGGTGACAGGTGTCAGCAGTCAGGACAAGGCTTGGTGGCAGCATCCCAGATCCTGGGGGTGTCGGTGGCTGGTATCAGTGTCAGAACTGGGCCCTCTGTATGGCAGTGACCACTGCCAACCTGTGGGGGCTTGTGTTCCCAAGCACGCCCTGTGCCGTTACCTTAGGTATACTTTATTCTGCTTTCTGCGAACTGTTTATGGAACAACTTAGATGCTTTTGGGGGGCTGAGGCAGCAAATTAAACTACGAACCTCACGTGGGAAGTGCTTAGTGTTTGTATTTAATGTATAATGGAAGGAATTGAAATTTCCAGGGAAGGACACAGTTGACAGCTGTTGTCAGTGCTACCTGGAGGTACCGCTGGGTCCACTTGGATTTTGTGATTAGCATCGTTATCTTTCACCCTGGCACTGTTTGTAACATATGACGACTTTTTCTGCCTAACTAAATTGCTCCAAGTTAGTTTCCTGTAGGCAGCCACTCGCTCACTATTTCTAAGTAAACCTTTAGTAGCATACAAAGTCCATCCATATTATATTAAAAACTTGTATTAATAGTTACTGCTTCTACCTACCATATGAGAGTATTGTGAGTACATAAAATATTTCAAAACCCACTAAGCTTTGCAAAAAAAAAGGTGTAATATAAACCTAAGGCATATCATTTTTAATAGCAGAGTTTGACTTTTCTTCCTGTGTGATCCCATGTTCCTATGTGCTCCCTGTGTTCCGGGTGGTTATAAGCAGGATGTTAAGTTTCTTCCAAAGTGGACAGCATGCTGACCGGCCAGGCTCGGGGTCCGTCTTTATGGGAGCTGAGGGTGCCCTGTGAGATACAGCCGGCAGTGGAGCACTTCTCAGTGTGTTCCAGGGACGCCTGGGGGTCCCACAGGCCCTCCAGGTGTGTTTTCATAGTAACACTGAGACGCTGTTACTCTCGCCTGTGAGCCCCGTGCACAGTGGCCTGTGATGGCACAGGACTGATCACCACAGGCGTGAGAGTAAGCTTGTCTCTCAGTTGTTTTAGAAAGTATTTTTATTAGAAGTATGTTAACAGGCCGGGCGCGGTGGCTCACGCCTGTAATCCTAGCACTCTGGGAGGCCGAGCCCGGTGGATTGCTTGAGGTCAGGAGTTCGAGACCAGCCTGAGCAAGAGCGAGACCCCGTCTCTACCAAAAAGAGAAAGAAATTAATTGGACAGCTAAAAATATATAGAAAAAAAAAAATTAGCCGGGCATGGTGGCGTATGCCTGTAGTCCCAGCTACTTGGGAGGCTGAGGCAGGAGGATCGCTTGAGCCCAGGAGTTTGAGGTTGCTGTGAGCTAGGCTGACGCCACGGCACTGTAGCCTGGGCAACAGCAATCTCTGTCTCAAAAAAAAAGAAAAAAAAAGTATGTTAACATAATGGATTTATTGTTAACATGTAATATGTTAATATTTAAAGTCAGTTTAAATTTCTAATAAGGTTAACATAATAGGTAGAGGCCACAAAAACAGCAGCTATTTGGGGTCATAAGTCATTTGGTCTTGAGACGGTATAGGTTTCCCACTGCTAAATTTGACTGGCTTAAAAAAAGAAAAAAAGAGGTGGTGTACATTATATGTGTTATATATTGTATTTTTACAGTAAAGTAAGCTAATATTATTAAGATAGTCATAAAAAAGAGGAAATATATTTACTCTTAAGTGGAAGTGGATTATCATAAAGGCCTTCTTCCCCATCATCTCCACGTTGAGTCGGCCAGGGAGGAGGAGGAAGAGGCGAGGTTGGTCTTGCTGTCTCGGGTGGCAGAGGCAGAAGAAAATCCAGAGATGAGCGGACCCTCCCAGCTCGTACCCGTGCTGTTCAAGGGTCAACTGTATTTGGTTTTGCTTACTTGATCTTTCGAATCAAATCAGCTTATCTGAGATAGTAAATTTAGTAACCTCAGATGAAATATAATCATGTATTTTAGAAATCAACTCTTGTAATCTGGTGAATCCAAAAATATGGTTCTGATAAGTCAATTTCAGTATTCTAGTGTTCACTCACTTTTTACTATTTAATATATAAATAGTTGTCACCATTGTGTTATGGGCGTGTCATGCAAAATCCCATGTAAATTATATGTTAAATTTGACTATATTTCTTGACTCAAATCACTTTGCAGGCACATCCCCTATTCTAAAGTTAAATTTGGCTATCTTCTTTAGGTGAGATTTCCTTGCTGGTAACTGTCACCAAGTCAGCCAAACAGAATGTGTAACGGATTCTTTAACAGCCACTGCACTGACTGAGAGCCGGTGACAGCCAGTCTTTCTAACTTCCTGTGTACAGGGGGCTGAAGATTTCAAGTAGCAGAGGGAGCTGGGCAGGGGACAAGTGACGCTGCCACTGGGTGCTTTCATCAGAGTCCAGACTGAAGAGCCTCATCAGAAATGGTCACTCCTCCACCTCTTCCGGGGCAGCAGCCCACCTCAAGGTACTGCAGCTCCTTAGCCCTCACTGATGGCCACGTTTGTTCTTGGGCTTCCCGGGGAGACAGGGAAGAGCAGTTGCCCTTCCTGCCTGGCCTGGGGACAAAGTAGCAAGTACCCAGCAGTTACTGTTCCGCCTCTCAAGGGTCAGGCAGACTTACAGCTTCCCGAGTCTCCAAGCGTCTGGGCTGGGACAAGCTGTCTAGGAGGACCTGGAGAATCCCAGTTCTGCGTCTGATCAGACATGCGCATCAATCTGATAAACTCTCACTTTCTCTTCTTGACTTACGAATGCCCGAATCTCTACTAGTTTGGGGGTGGGGGTGGGAGGTCACTTAATCCAGTGGCCACTACCAACAGATTTTTTCCTTGTCTTCTTTAGTGTAGTAGATCCCGTCTGGCTTTGGACTCACATGTGGGGATTGAGTCCCATCTCCTCCACCCCCAGAGTTGTGCGGTGTTTGGTGGGTGCCTCCCCTCTGTGGCCCCCGTGTCCCAGTGGAGTGGAGAGAGTGATGGAAGTTGGGAGCGTGAGTGGCACAGTGCTCTCCCGTCAGTATTCATTAGCTATTATCAGACCACCAACCCCCCTCACCCCCAAAAGCTCATTACTGCTGAAGCATCCTGTTAGGAAACGAGGAGAGAGGACCCCATCAGCCTGCCAATTTTGCACACTACTGAGACAAGCTTTTGAACTATGGGGTCCGTACTCAGATGTTGGGGTGTCCAGCTGTTTGTTGATTTTTCTCTGTAGCTCCCTCTCCAGCTGTGCCCCCAAAAGTGGTATCTGACAACTTCCCCCCCTAGCCCTCCCACCTCACCCTCTCTTCCAGTCCCCCACTCTCCTGGCACAGGACTGTCTCCCTGCTGCCACCATTGACATACATCCTCTTCCCACCCCACCCAGACGTTATGAAACCTGGGATGAGACCATGTTTGCTTGCAGCGTCATATGGCCTCAGCTGTCAAGCATATTAACAGGCTGCGCCCCGCCCCCCACCTGCCCCCAGGTCCTGGCAGGGATGGTGAGCTGGGAGCCTCGCTTGGCACAGTTTATGGAGAATATGTAAACGTGCCAGGTGGTTTGGGAGGGGCCGGTGGAGATTATGGGGCCTTAACCTTTTCCCCCACCCCAAGCACTGGTGAGAAATGTTTCTGGCCAATGTGTCAGTAGCTATCCAGTTCCCCTGAGGCCACCAACAGCCAAATGGGGGAGGTGCTGCTGCAGTGGGGGACCTGGGGGTGGTGACGCTGTGCTAATGGGACTGTCAGCGCAGGGCGCAGTGCGTTTACTCAAATCTGAATACGCTTTGGCGCTAACCTGGGGCCACAACCATCACACCACCTGGCCACGTTCCCAGGTTAGCCCAGAAAAGCATATCTGATGGGAAAGTATTTTGTGGACTCCAAGCAACTGATAATTATCCTTAAGTAACGCAGGGACTGCTTATATGAAAATCTGACCTTTGACGTATTGCTTTGTAATTGTTCAATCAAGTATTCATTTACTCGACAAACATTTGAATGTTGTAGGAATGTGTCACAACTAGAATGTAAGCTGGTAGTGAGGATTAGTCTAATTCTGAATCACTGCTATAGCGATCAATATCGCTTTGTTCACAGTAATTACTCAATAAAAGGACTTAATGTCTAACGTTTCCTAAGTCATCATCATTATATAACTGAAGCTGAACTCTTTTTGCCTATTCATAGGTAGAAAACTGGGTTTTTAATTTTAAACTGAGTCTTTAAGGAGTGTCGTTGACAGTATGCAAGATCCCCGCAACGTCTTTTCCCCACCTCACGGCCGCACAGCGAGATTTACCAGTTTCTGCCCCGCATATCAAAGGCACTGAGGTTATAAAGGGTTTTGTCTCTGACGTGCACGGACTTCTCCTATGCGTGAGGCACAGCCAGCTCCCCAGGGGCTGCTCCCCGCCGCCGAGAGGACCTCCGGCCACGGGAGAGCCGGCTGGGGGAGCTGGTGGGACGCCGGTGCCCGGGCACTGGGCACTGGCATGCAACAGTCGGTCGTGACTCCAGCCCGGCGCGGCCCGGGCTTGGCAGGCCGCGTCCTCAGCGAACGCGCTCGGCTCCTCCTCCTGCCGCCGGGCCAACCCCGCGCTGCTCGGTCGAGTGGACCGGGCGGCGCCGGGACGCGCTCGCAGTCGGACGGCTGAGGCGGTGCCCGCAGGGTCCAGCCCCGGGAGCACGCGAGTCGCGGGGAGCCCCGGCCCCAGGAGCGGGGAAGGGTGCGGGGCGCCTTCGCCTGAAGTCCCGGGTTTGGGCGCGGGATGTGAGGGCGCCAGAGATGCTGCGGCTGGACGCAGGTGGGTGTGGAGGGAGCCGGGGCCGACCCTCAGCGTCGGACGGGCAGGGCGCTGGGCCCGGCAGGAAACCCGGCCCCGCGCACGGTGACGAAGACCCCGCCTCTCCTTCCAGGGGACCGCTGACCCGCCGGCGCGGCTGCACCATGCCTTTCCCGCCTGTGCCGCCGCCGCCCGCCCCGGCCCCAGGGGTCCTCGCCGCGCGCCAGCCCCGGAGGCCCAGCGCGCAGCCCGCGCCCTCGCCGCCCGCCGCCGCCGGGGAGAAGAAGCGAAGGTCCCCGGAGAGGCCCGAGGTGCTTTTCTCCAGCTCCTGGCCCTCGGCCACCCTGAAGAGGCCGCCAGCCCGGCGCGGCCCCGGCCCGGCCAGGACTCAGCCGCCCGCCCCTCCGCGCGCCCCGCCCCAGGCCTCGCCCGGCCGCGCGCGGGCTCCGGCCACGTGCGCCTCGCCCCGGCCAGGCGGCTCTGGCTACACCCCGGCGAGGGCCGCCTGCGCGGGGACCTCCGCGGCGACTGGGGCCACCGTCTCGGGGAGCTCGGCGCGGGCAGGCGCCGGGCCGGACGACGCCGTGCGCTTCTCCTTGAGCCTCACCCCCGAGGCTGTCCTGGTCATCCAGAGGCGCCACCTGGAGAAGCAGCTGCAGGCGCGGCCCCGCAGGCCCTTCCCCTCGCCCTCGGCCGACCCCCGGCGCCTGCTTGCTCCCTGTCCCCTAGCCAGGGCCGCCAGTCCGCGGAGGGGCGGCGCCGCCAGCAGCCCCGACGCATCCCCAGCCGCGGGCCTTGGCCGCCGACCGTCGCGGTTCCCGCTGCTGCCCGGCGGCCTGCAGGCCCCCGAGCCCGGCCCCCGGCCCGCCGACCTGCGCCCGGTGCTCAAGGTGTCGCTGCTCAACGAGCGGCACAAGTACGACGACGTGGAGTACGAGGAGGAGACCGAGGCCCTGGACGAGGGCCTGGTGCGCAAGTGCACCGAGTGGCTGCGCGGCGTGGAGTCGGCGGCCGCCGCGCGGGACCGGGCCGGGCGCCTGGGCGCGCTGCCTCACCTGAGCACGCTGTGAGCCCGGGACAGGGCTGCCTGACGCCTGCCCGCACCTCCGGACCGCGCTCCGCTCACCTGGGCCCTCGTGGGAGATGCACATCCCCGTCTGACCGCCGTCCCGCTCCTGGTCCCTGTGCGCCGAAGAGGCCCGCGTGGGATGCAGGCAGCCTGTCTTGCCCACACCTATGGTTTCTCCCCGGAAGTCCACCTCTGAGCACCCACAGGTGTCCTTGCTTCTCGCGGGGGAGTAAGCAGCTGCGAAAATGCCTCTCAGCTGCCCACCCCCTTGTGCGTTTTGTGCCAGAGACACTCTGCCTGGGGGCAGGCCTGCCCTGGCCGCATAGCGCACGTGATGGCCGCCAGAGTGGCCTCCTGCTGCAGAAGTGGGACCTGGTGCCACGTTTATGATTTTCTCCCAGTCAGAAAAATGTTGAGGGTATTGGAAAGCCTGGAAACTCAAAGTTAACCCAATTTCGAATATCCAAAGAGGAGGGGTGATAATCACCAGGAACTAGTCGAACCCTGGTGAAAGCGCTTCGATGGAAACGCTGCTCTGTTGTTACACAGCAAGTGACTGGTCGCCGGCTTTGGCTCTGCGTGTTGGGTGCACACACGCCCGCAAAAACTCACACCCAAGCACTCACACATGCACACACACTCATAATCACACGCACACATATGCACACTCACAAGCCCCTCCGCAAGCAGTGTTGGGAGTTGTTCTCAATGGCTGGATTAAGGCGGAGCAGGAGTGAGGTGGCTTTTGTTAGAATCATCATCTTTATTTGAAGTGCTCACAGAATATCTTTTGTGCCAGGGAAAGAAAGGGTAACGGAATGGAGAGGGGAAATGCTGCGACCTGTGCCCCCCAGGCCCCACCCAGCGATTTACCTGAGAGGAGGGGGGAAGCCCTCGCCAGGCCAGGGGGAGCAGGTGTCTGTTTTTGGCATTTTTAATCACTGTGAAAACCAGTGATACCATGGCTTTGTACAGCTGTACCTAGTGATTAAAATTTTTCTATTTATTATTTGAATAATGAATAAACTCTCCTGCCTTTCAGTAACCATACACTTTCCCCACTAACCGGAGGCTGATTTCTAGGTAGTTCTTCCATGCACCTGGGTATATTTAACTCTTAAGGATGAGAGTGAAATAAAATGTAATAATCAGATAAGACTGGTTGCAGAAGAGTAACGTATTACCTCAAATTTTGACTTATTTTGTAAAAGTCCACGACTAGTTTAATGTTTAACTTGTTAGACTTTAATATGTCAAGTCTTAATTATATTTTAAATTGAAGCCTTACTTTTTTAAAAAAAAAAAAGCAATTTTGTATTTTTCTTGTAGAGATCTTTGCTCTAATCTCTCCAGTTCTAGACACAAATTTAGTTGGATATGAAACATTTAATCCAGCAGGAGCTAGATCAGCCGCCACATGAACTCCAGAGACAAAAACCCCACCCACTGAATAACTTCCTTTTCTGACCCCTGTTTGAGTTGGGAGATAATGTTCTCTTTTACTTACAGTGAATATATTAATAACAGAGGGGCAGAGTTAGCCCTGCCAAGTGGCTGTGAATGCTCCTGTCCCCACCCCAGATGACCCTTGCAGAGCTCAGTCCTGCGCGGGGCACGGGGTCTGCAGACCGGAGGGCAGGTCGGGAGTGGGTCGACCCTGCCCAAAGCTGGGCAGCGGCACGGCTTGGGCTCATCTTGCACTTAATGCAAACACGAGGTGCCCAGGCCCCACCCTTGGTGATGGTAACAACAAAAACATTTTGAAGACTTTCCTGGTGACACCCTAAAGGGACAGAGAGCTTGAAGTATCTTTCTGTCTTCCAGGCCTGAGCCTCCGGGGCAGTGCGTGGGTCTGTCTCTGCACCTGTGTGTCTACCTGTGCGTACCTGTGCACCCCGTCTGTTGCTTTGCTGGGATTCCCTTTCCTCCCCCTGCCCTCCCTGTCCTCCAGGTTCCTCATCCCCATCCCCCTTTCTTAACTGCCCACAATACAAAACTAAGCACATTTTTCTAATTTGTGTCTGTTAAATAGAGTTCGTGTGCCTTGTTCTTCTGTTTAAAAGCAGATGAGTAGGACTTTTATCTTTCCCTGGTTAGTGAACCTCAGTGAAAAGCAAAAAAGGTTATACACGTGACACACGTCTGTCCATTGCTGTTAATGACATTTTGAGAAAGTTTTCTAAGTCGCTGTGCTACGATTTCTTAACGCTTAAATAAAAGAGAAGTTCATGACTTGTGTTTCTTTCTGAGGAGGATATTGAAAACTGGTCAGGAAGAGATCACTGAGGCATTTAAAACTCACGTGAGATGGTTTCTCCTCTGGAGAGAATGGTGCTCAACTACGGTTCTGGAGTTTGCAGGGGTTGACAAAGCTCTGTAGGGTTTAATTACTGCTAGAAGCTACCAGGATGTGAAGAATTCTAATGATATTCAAATACCATATCATGAGGTTATTTAGCAGCGACATTTAAGCTTATGGGCTTACAAATCCCCGTGAGAGCCACATTCCAAATGCACTCCTGAAGATAGGCACCACATAACAAATTCACACATTTTAGGAAGCTTGTGGATCCCAGATTAACAACTCCTATGATATACGCTCACTGAAACATTTTTCTTGGCCGGGCGCGGTGGCTCACGCCTGTAATCCTAGCACTCTGGGAGGCCGAGGCGGGTGGATCGCTCAAGGTCAGGAGTTGGAGACCAGCCTGAGCAAGAGCGAGACCCCGTCTCTACTAAAAATAGAAAGAAATTAATTGGACAACTAAAAATATATAGAAAAAAAATTAGCCGGGCATGGTGGCACGTGCCTGTAGTCCCAGCTACCCGGGAGGCTGAGGCAATAGGATCGCTTGAGCCCAGGAGTTGGAGGTTGCTGTGAGCTAGGCTGACGCCATGGCACTCTAGCCCGGGCAACAAAGTGAGACTCTGTCTCAAAAAAAAAAAAAAAAGAAAGAAATCAAAGGGTTAGTTTAGATAGTGGCTAGGGCTATTATTAATAGATTATTAAATAGGGACAATATCAATAAATGTGGCTTGTCTTTAAATCTTTGGGTCCATAGAGAAAAAAATATTAATAATAAAAGTTGTCCTTGGAAGTAAGAAGGTTAGAAACCATGCAGGCATGTATGCACACGCTCCCTCTCCACCCCCCCAATATATATTGCGATATTATTATGAAATTCTCCCGTAGCTGCACCGTCCCATAGCGGGAAGTGAGAACTTCCAGACAGAGAAGCTCGCATGCCACTGTAGAAGAGTAAGTGCGTGTCAGTTCCAAAGCTGACCATGGATGACTTGATTCCATGTATTTAGAGAATACCTGGCCCTTTAAGGTAGGTTTTTATGTTGCTTTGCTTTACTTCTAGGAAAAGTAGATGCCAGGATGTCAGAACCTTTAGCTTCGTGGTTTCTCCTGAAATTGCACAATGCAATGCAAAGCGGGCGATCCATGGATCTGAGCAGATTAATCTTACTCTGAAATCACAGTGGGGCATCTTTTGTAGCACGGTTATTTCAGCCTGCTATGGTATATCATTCAAAGAAAGTCCTAAAGTAACAGTTTCTCTAGTAAGCAACAGACTTTTGCTTTGACACCAATGCACACGCATGCCTTTGTGGCCCTGGGAAACTGGGTTGGCGTAGTTCAGACCAGCGTTCCCTCTGTCCAGGACTGACTGGGTGAGAGCCTGCTCCTCCTGTGTCCTCGGGGCCTGGCCTCACGGCGGAGCAGAGACTGAGCACCTGCCTGGAGTGGCTTGGGAGCAGGCGCCGCACCAGGGCTAAAGTGGGCTTTGGTGGCCTGGAGACCGGAGTTCCCGCACGGACGAGCTGCCTCTCGTTGAATTTCTGTTTCCTCTTCTCTGTATGAGGATAATAATATGTAGGTGACCCTGGCAAGGATGACGACGAGGTAATGTGCAAAGGTTCAGGACAATACCTGCCTGTCACCCAGCTCAGGGTCAACTGTGATTTTTACTAGTTCAAAAAATCTTTACTATTCAAAAAACATCATTCTCTGGCACACATATGTACAAAATCAAAAGCCTCCCTGGGTACAATATTCTGAGGTTTTTCTCTCTAACCATTTAATGCACACCTTTGATGGGAGCTACACTTTCATTTCCCTGAGAAATAAAAAAAATTAATGAATCTATTGTGTTTTGCCTTCTTATTTATTATTTATGTCATGAACACAAAATTTAACTCTGAGCTTTCTTGGAGCAGAAGCAAAGTTAAAAATAATGAGTTATATAATCTCAATATCTAATAATAAGAAACACTAATGCATTACAAGAGACAAACTTATTTTCTTTTCTCTCTTTTTTTTCTGAGCCGGGAATCTCACTGTGTTACCCAGGCTGGTCTCAAACTCCTGGGCTCAAGGGATCGTCCTGCCTCAGCCTCCTGAGAAGCCGAGGCTACAGGGCATGCCACCACCACCTGACACAAACTTCTTCTTAGAGAAAATTATTTAGTGTTATGTATTTGCATTATGTGCAACATGACGGAAAGTATCCTTAAATGCAGATTCTGGAAGATGCGTAAATATCCTCTCCCCATTTAACCTTAATCAGCTCCTTCAAGGTGCTCTCTCCAAATACAGTCACACTGGGTGTTAGGGCCACGATTTCAGATGCTTTTTAAGGCCACTTACACACACAAACCCACCCCAATGCACACGTGTGCATGTGCGAGCAAACACACACACACAAACACATCTTTTGGGAGCACCAAGGTATGAGAAGAGAGTTTTTATTGTAACCTGAAAAGCCATTCCTTTAACCTTTTTATTTCTACATGCGAGAACATGGAGATGAGATTTAGCCAGTGGGTCTGAAAGGCTCAAGCCAGGTCTGAGGTCTGTAACCAAGTTGCGAAGATTTTATTCTCCCCCCACCTCTCATTTTTGCTTTTGTGTCTGTTTCCCTGTTAACTTCTGCTATGCATTTTTGACAGCCATGGGAGTGACTCGTGCTAACTCTGCACACATGGGCGAGT